TTCTCCCTCTCCCACTCCCCCTGCTTGTGTTCCCTCTCTTGCTGTCTCTCTGTCAAATAAATAAATAAAATCTTTAAAAAAAAAAAAAAGGAAAAGAAAGATAGACATCATGATAGTATCTAACTGGCTAAATAGAATTATGTTTATGAAAGGCCAAATAGGGTATGTTTATAAATGTACACTTCGGTGTGTATACAATTGTTTTTCCAGAGATAATTATATTAAGTACTTTTTTATATAACATTGGAATAGCAGTAAAGGGAAAGTAAAAAGTAATGTAAGACACTCTGCCTTTCAGTTGCTTGGTAGACCAAGGCCTACATGTTAAAATATTAGACAAGTCATTAAAAAAACAAGATAATATGTTTTGCTACACAGCACATTATAGTTAAAACATACTGAAGAAGAGGGAAGTCACTACTGTCTAGAAACTTAGGCAAAGTCCTCTGGAAGAGGTAGAATTGAACAGGATCTGTAAGAGGAAGATCAGATAATGGTCCTTCTGGAAAGTGACATCCGTGGGAAGGGGGAAAGGGGCAGGGAACAGCATGGAGCAGAGACTTGATAGCAGACTTTGTGATAAGACTGACCTAGCTAGTGTGTAAATTCCTACTGGAGAGAGATTTGTATGAAAGCAGAGCCTGCTTAGAAAAGGTGAATCCAGATTATAGACAACGTGAAAACTGAGCTGGGACAGGGATTAGGGTTGGGGAAAGGGGCTGATGTAAGCCATTTCATTCATATTAGAATAAGAAACCATGAGAACTTCTTATAAAATAGAATGGTACTAAAAAAAAAAAAAAAAGAATGGTACTTCTGAAAAATGATACTTTGGGAAAGTTAGTGTATTATTATAGCTAAAATGTACTACAGTGAAAGTACTTTCAAATCATATTTATAATATTTTGTTAATCTGGTTATAATGAAATTCACTTTGTAGATAATGAAAGCTTTTCTTTTTTTATAAAGTTATGTCACATTCCTAGGCAGAGGATCAGGGGAAGGGAGGAAAAAAATGAAACAAGATGAAACCAGAGAGGGAGACAAACCATAAGAGACTCTTAATCTCAGGAAACAAACTGAGGGTTGCTGGAGGGGAGGGTGAGGGGATGGGGTGCCTGGGGGATGGAGGGTATGTGTTGTGCTGAGCGCTGTGTGTTGTGGAAGTCTGATGAATCACAGAATTGTACCCCTGAAACAAATAATACATTATATGTTAATAATAAAACAATTTTTTTTTTTAAAGATTTTATTTATTTATTTGAGAGAGAGAATGAGATAGAGCACGAGAGGGGGAAGGGTCAGAGGGAGAAGCAGACTCCCTGCCGAGCAGGGAGCCCGATGCGGGACTCGATCCCGGGACTCCAGGATCATGACCTGAGCCGAAGGCAGTCGCTCAACCAACTGAGCCACCCAGGCGCCCAATAATAAAACAATTTTTTAAAGACAAAAATAAGAAGTTATGTCACATTCCTATTGTGCTTTTATATGCAAACATGGTTTTTTAATCATTGTAACTAGCCATTCCTTACCATATGAATTAAGGTACCATTTTGAAACTGAGATGTGGTGAATGTAAGTGGCCTCCATAAGGTTACATGACCAGCCAAAGGGCAACTCCTTATTCAGGTATACACTGGACTTGCTCTAAAAATTCTCCTTGAATGATTGCATTTCTCACTATAAGCTGTGAACTATTTAAAAAAAAAAAAACTCATCCTTAATAATATTTTCTTTTTTCTTAAGATTTATTTATTTATTTTAGGGAGAGAGAGAGAGACACAGAGGTGGGGAGGGGCAGAGGGAGAGGGAGAGATTGTCCTAAGCAGACTCCACGCTGAGCGCAGAGTCCGACATGGGGCCCAGTCTCACCACCCTGAGATCACGACCCGACCAGAAACCAAGAGTCACAGCTTAACCAACTGTGCCACCCAGGCACCCCAATATTTTCTTCTAACAAGAGAGTTCTGGATTATGTACTTTTTGAGGACAGGAACTGCGTTTAACTCATCTTTGAACCATCATAATACCTCATAACTACGTATAAGCTATTTGATAAATATTTATTCATTGGAAAAAATGGCTGAGTGCATGGAACTGTTTCATTCATACCTCTTACACACATTTTTATTGAGAGTCTACTGAAATGAAGAATGATAAAGGTCAGTTTGACTTGGCAACTAAAAAGTTAGTGCTGATCCTAAAATACCTTAAGGAGGCTGGCACGGGACCAGACTATAGGACATTGAGGAATGCGTTGGTCGTAAAGAAGGAGGAACACAAGAAAGACCAACCTTTCAAAAGTTTTGAAAGTTATAAAAAGGCTGAAAGAGGCTTATTTTTTGTTTGAGTTAGGCCATGTTTTTAAGTTGAGGAGAAGACTCTAGAATAAGATACTTTGGCCCAAGAAAGTAAAGATAGTTGAAAAAACAAGCTTTCAGAAAAGGTAGGAATTAATGGATTCAAAGAAAAAGGAAGGATTTGTCTTGTAGATGAGAAAGACATGCTTCTTCCTCTAAAAGGGAAAGATAAGATGTGTGAATATCAGGGTAAATAACTTGAAGAGACAAGTCAAAAAGTTGCTTATAGTTCTCCAAGTTTTTAAATGAGGAATGGGGGTGTTTTAGCCCAAAAATTGCTGGATTTAGAGTATGTACAATTAAGAACTAACACTTTCATATATTTAGAAAAATGACTACTTTTAATTTGCTTAAGATCTAGATTTTGATAACCATTTTGCATGTTTTTATTTGATTAGGTACTTCCATTCAGTCAACTCTTGGTGCCAATGGAGTTAGATTAGACAACCAGCCTATAGTCAAAAAAAGGCGGGGAAGGAGGAAGAATGTAGAAGGTGTTGACATCCTCTTTTTTAACAGAAATAAACCACCTAACCATGTAAGTAAAAACTACTGATCCTTGAGTCCAAAATTCAGTCCTAGTAAATACATATATTGCTGTTTTGCGAATGTCTTATAGAGTAAAAATATTAATTAGGAAATTAGATTGTACTTCTGGATTATATCTCAGAGGAATCCAGCACTGACCAAGATTCATGAAAATTTTAAATTTGAAAAATTTAGCAGAATTTTAAACAACTTTTTTCCTCTTCAAAAAGATTTGCTTCACTGGACCAAAAATCGAATGATAAAGCATAGAAATAAAATTTTCACTTGGTTGTTTTTCTACAGGTTACTTTAGGCTTAACCACCTCACAGATTTCTACAGGGATAAATCCAGCACTGTCCTATACTCAACCTCAAGGAATTCCTGATACAGAAAGTCCAGTTCCAGTTATTAACCTCAAAGATGGGACAAGACTTGCAGGCGATGATGCGCCAAAGAGAAAGGATTTGGAAAAATGGCTTAAGGAGCACCCAGGTTATGTGGAAGATTTAGGAGCTTTTATTCCTGTAGGTGATGCCTTACAAATCTTGATATATTTTATTTCTGTGGTTTTTCAAATCCATAATCAAGAAGCATACATTTTTACCCACTTATGTAAATATGTGTTCTGTCCAAGAGTAAGGAAAATGAGCAGAAAAAAGTAATGACCATTTTTCCCACGATGCAACACAGTGCCATTTCCATTTTTCTATTCTGAATTTAATAATAAAAATCACCTCCAATATACAGAGTACTATGTTCGACCCAGTGAACGTTGTAAAGGTATAAAGTTTCCTCAGGGAGTTTACTTTAAAATACTAATGATCATATTAAACATTTATTGAGACTTAGCTGTGTGCTGGGCATTATACTTAGCACTTAACATATGTTATCTCATTTAACACTCTTGACATCTTTATCAGAATGGCATCATTTTAACTATTTTCTAGATAAAACACTGAAATTTGAAGTGAAGAGTCCAGGGCACACAGTCTTAAATCTAGTGCCCAGACTACTACTCATAAGCTTTTCTTCAAGCTATCACAGTACAGCTGTTGTGGTCTGCAGACACACATTGAGTTTACACTAATCGCGAGTGAGAATTGTTAAAGTTATTTTGCATTTTTTATCTCCTGAGATACCTTGTGCTCACTATCTTATAGGCATATGGCTTTCTTACTCACAGAAATCTGTTATTTCATTTTGCAATACTTTACTATCGGATGCTGATATACCAAATTTGCATCAGATTCCCCCATACAGTGAAGGTGGCAGGCCTATTGTATCTGCCTTCATTCGAATGAAGAACCCAGTGAAGCTGTCTAGTATTCTGTGAGCTTCTGAAGGACTATATCCTATTCACCTTTGTATCCCAGGACTTAGTACATAATTCCTGATCCATAGAATAGTATCTAGGTCCCTATAAATATTTGCTGAGCCAATGATTAAAAACTGAAAGTCTTTTGAAGACTAAAAACTACTACGTAAAGGTAAAGTTGTTATTTTATTAACAGAAAAAAAATACCTTGTTACTTTTTTTACAAAAAGGAACCACAAAATCTCCACACTCCAGTCCCTACAGTGGTCTTTGTGTCTGTAATGTGTACTTCTTCTAGAATTTTACATCACTATTACTGACACCAGGAAATAACCTGGTAGTCTAAAACAGACTGCCTTGGGCTTGGCTTTCAGATGCCTTTCATATCCCCAGTCTTCTCTAAGGATGCCACTAATTCTCAAATAAACTTTAATTACTTTTGATTTTTAAACCAAATAAAGCTTTTATAATTATGAGGGGAGGGGTTTTCACTAAATATGATGGGTAAGCATAGAACGAATACTGCAATTCTAACAATAATGAGAATCATTAGTTTAACCCTGTAACTTAACATGTTAGAAAATAACATTTATTTAGTCAATAGATTCTTATTGAGTTAACTACTGTGTGCTAGTCCTCTTTTAAGGGATGGAGAATAAAACCGTGAACAATATAAAGTTCTTGCCCTTGTGGCAGTTCCACTGTAGTCTGTAAGGGATTCTCCTGTCTTTTTCTCATCACTGCAAAGGAATCTTTATTAATTTTTTAAACTTACAAGCCATTCATCATTTTCACCACAAATATTAACTTTATCATAATTTTTAGGTAACATTATATAATATTAAGATTTTAAAACAGCATTTGTTGTGATAAAGAATACAAGACAATAGTTTGATTTCTGAAGGATACTTTTTTTAAAACAGCATTTGTCATGATAATATGAGATAATAATTAGTTTTGGTTTCTGAAGGATATTTCACGTTACTGATTTCTTAGCTCTCACACTCTACTGGGATATCTCTCTAGCTAAATAATTATAACATGATATAGATCTATAATAACAGGGGTATGTGTAGAGTGCCATGGAAACAGATAAAAGAATAATGAACAACTCTGCCTAGGCCAAGTATCTGGGGAAATATGGAAAGAAAATAGAGATGACACATATGACTGGTGGATGATAAAGAGTAAGTAGACATTTGACCAGGTTAACACAAGGGGAGGCTAGGCTAAGCTCTGTAAAACAAGTATGAAGAGTTAAAAAGGATAGGACTTGAGGGCATGTTCATAAAACAGCGGCCAGTTTGATATTGTAGGGTATGTGAGGCAGTGAGTGGAGTAATAGTAACTGGATAGAAGAGGTGAATTTAGGTCCAGGCTGTGAAAGGGTGGGTCTGCCATGCTGAAGAGTTTGAGCATTGGCCCGAAATAGCTACAAACCTCAAGCCCTGCTTTGTTAAATCGTAGAGGTAAGCAGTATAGTTTGACGGAAAGAGTTTCATTGCCAGATACTACCACTTGCTGGTTGCATGACCTTAAGGAAGGTAACCTCTCCAAGCCTTGGTTCCCATTCGTAAAATGCAAGAATAGTACCTTTTAATATCGTGACGATTACTTGAGGAGAGATAAGAGAGACGGTTAGTGAGATGAAGAGAAGAGGAAAGCCACAGCTGGCACAAACATAGATTCTGTCAGCACAGAAAAAAATCTGATGTTTCAGATGAAATTTATCCGGAGAAAAAGTAAAGAACTGTACAGTTTAGAGGAGGCTGCTCCAGCATCATCAGCAACTCCTTCAGACGACGCTAGGAACACGTGATCTGTCAAGAGCTTAAGGGAAGATCTCATTTCAGGAGCCAGAATGCACACAGAATGATAGTGTTTTGTTCATGTGATGGCTTTGAGTATTTGTTTAAATATATAATTTGAGGAAAAGATGTACATAATATTTCTTAAAGTCATATTAATATTTTTATTAGATAGTTGACCCTTGAACAACACTTGAGTTTGAACTGTGTGGGTCCACTTATACGTGGATTTTTTTCCAGTACAGTACTGAAAATGTATTTTCTCTTCATTATGATTTTCTTAATAACATTTTCTTTTCTTGAGCCTACTTTGTTATAAGAGTACAGGATATGATATAAATATAACATGCTAAATATGTGTTAATCAACTGTTTATATTATCAGAAAGGCTTCTGGTCAACAGTAGGCTATTGCCAGTTACGTTTTGGGGGAATCGAGTTATATGTGGATTTTCGAGTATGCACGGCAGCACCCTGATCCCCATGTTGTTCAAGGGTCAACTGTATTAAATATAAAAATATTTAAAGCAATTTTAAAGTGTAACGAAAGGGTAAATTCTTTAATATTATTTATGTATATATATGATACATATATAAACTGAAGGTAAAATATATAAGGAGATATTATATATCTTCAATATTTAATAGTATTATATATATGTATCTTCAGTATTATAGAATTAAATTACTTGGATCAGCTCTTTTGTACTGTTTGCACAAGTAAAGATTTTAAAGCTGTTTCTTTGGTTATATGTTTTAGAGAATGCAGCTCCATGAAGGGAGGCCCAAACAAAAAAGGCATCGTTGCAGAAACCCTAATAAACTCGATGTTAATAGTCTTACTGGAGAAGAACGTGTTCAGCTAATTAACAGAAGAAATGCCAGGAAGGTGTGTATATATTTATTGTTAATCGTTTATATTTAGGAGATCTTTAGAATACTGCTTCATTATGCCATGTTTTCTAACAGACCTGGAAATGGGTTAAAACTGGCAGATTTGTGGGAAAAGACATGGACTGTAATTTTATGCAATCTAATTTCAATTCCCACACCTTTGGCTAAGCCATGGAATAAAATAAGTCACTTGACACATTATCAGCGTGTAAGCAGTGTGACACTGCACGAGGGCCCTACATCCAAAGCAACAGTTCTCAGCACGGGGCAATTTTGTCTTGCAGGGACATTTGGCAATGTCTGGAGACATTTTTGGTAGCCCCAACTTGGGAGGCAGGGAGGTAGGTTTTGGGGAGGTGGCAGGCAGGGGAAGGATGCTGTTGGCATCTAGCAGGTAGAGGCCAGGATGCTGCTAAACATTCTACCGTACATAGGACATTCCCTCACAACGCCCAACCAGAATGCTCATGCTGCAGAGGGTGAGAAACTGATGAGAGAGCCACCGTTCTCATCAGGCCGTCATAGATTTACATTTTTATCGCTGTAATTTCCGATCAGATGGCCATAAAGTATCTTGTTCCTTTAAATCAGCCTATTAACATAATTTTCTGACAGATGAAAATAAAATGTCTTAAACAAAGGAAAGGTACCTTATAGAATAAGGGCACTGCTGTTTATCTTACAGCTTTTTTGACTGATGAATGATAAGAGTCCGGTTTTTCCAAATTCTATTTCTAAACCAAATGTGGCTCAACATTTATTTCCCCAAATTGTTTTTTTTTATGGATTGATAGATGTCTCCTTCACCTCGAAAGTAAATGATAGAACACTTACGGCATCCTTTTTTAGGCTAATAGCTCTGATATTTTTGTTCTGTTTTTTATGCAGATAAGCATGCAACAAAATAAATAAAAAAGAAAAAGATGGCCTCAGAGTAAGAATAGCAAATTTCTCTCACAAATCAAATTACCCTAACAGTTGTTTTAATACTGTTACATGCAGCAGCTCATTAAAATTAATACTGATTTTTCCCCAATTTTATAGAGCTTATTCAGCTTTTGTTAGTACTTTAAAATGATGTCACAGGGAGATTAGGGGAAGAACAAGATGACATTTTAGTAGCATTTTACTTAATTTTGTGCTTATATAGATGGTGTTATAAATCTTTGTAGTTCATCTTATAACAAAAGTTAGCATTACTAGATAGGAATAAATTAAGTCTTAGCCAGTTTTAAGGAAATGGAACAATTTTGTAATTTTACTTATTAGATATTAAACACTCCTAATTTTATCTTTAAATGTTATAACCTGACAAGGGGCCTGTTCATTTCCTTTAATTTGTATTGTTTATTGTTCTGAGTCTCTAGCGCATAGGCTTAAGGATTGAAAAGAATCTACCTGCTGAATCCCCATAAACCACCCAGAGGGCCTCCGCTTAAATTGGAGCTTAATAAAGGGGGTAACAAAAAGGAGAAGGCAAACAGAAACCACAGAGACTAAGTAAAGACTATAGAAAATACTAAAAAAGCATACCTACAGGTATTATAACTATAAATACCTATAACTTACAGGTAGCATAACCATATTAAAATCCTGTCTGTATTCTATCAAGAGATTGTATATATTTAGAGAGGTATGGAAAGAGGAATTATAATAGACTCCAAAGGAACATTAAGGTGGTAGATCCAAATCATTTAAGTTTCAAAATATTTTGTTTTAATTTCCTACTAATTATTATATGTAGTTTTTAAATTTTTTCACATTGTGATTAGTCGGTTATATCACTGTTCACATTCAAAAGATGTATATATTTTTCTACTTCAGGGTTTTAATTTACATAATAGGTAAGAGCATGAGTTTGTGAGACCTGAGTTTTAAAGCTGGCCCTGACGCTTCCTAGCTAGCTTTAGGCAACTTCTGTAACTTCTCTGAGGTTTATTTCCTTCATTTGAAAAACGGAAATAATACTGTCTCAAAGGATATAGTGAAAACTAAAATAAGTTTACATACTTAAAGTCCTAAGCATGATACTTGGCATATAATAATAAGAACTTATTATTTGTTATGCACCAGACGCTGTGCTAAGGCACTTGAATTGTTTCATTTTTATCCTCATAAAACCCTATGAGGGAAGTGTTATTGTAATCCCCTTTTTATAGATCAGAAAATTGAGGCTCAAAGAGATTTACTGATTTGCCCCAGTTCAAATAGCTGGTAAGTCTGAGTCCGGAGGGTATATGCTCTTAACTAGGCTATATTGCCTATCCGGCATAGCAAGTACACAGTAAATGGTAGTTATTCATTTTACTATTTTAGTCACTTTTTAAAGCATTTAAAATTTACATTACCACGTGTCTGTATGGTATATTAGCAGTGCTTTTGGCTTGTGGTAGTCCTTTTTAATATAGTAGAGATCGTCAGAGGTAATTCAAGAAACACATGTGTCTTAAACTCTGTATAGCACAGAATAAAAGCAAGAAATGTCTTCATATTTAATAGTGTTTTTAAGTGTCTAACAGTCTTTTTCATTTACAGGTTGGAGGTGCATTTGCTCCCCCTTTGAAAGATTTATGTAGATTCCTGAAAGAAAATTCAGAATATGGAGTAGCTCCTGAATGGGGAGATGTTGTTAAGCAGTCTGTGAGTAATTTCATAAATACTAACGTACCTATCATCTTAAAAATTAGATGCCATTTAGTCAGACTTAGAAAGACAACTACCGTATGATTCCACTCGTAAGTGGAATCTAAAACCAAAACCAAAACAAACAAAAAGCAGACTCAGATCTATAAATACGGAGAATAAACTGATGGCTGCCAGAGGGGAGGCGGGTGGGGAGAGGGGCAAAACGGATGAAGGGGGAAAGGGAGGTACAGGCTTCCAGTTACAGAATGAATAAGGCATGGGGCAGAGCATAAGGAACATAGGCAGTGATACTGACCAGCGGAGGTTTAATTCCTTCATTTGAAAAACGGGAATAATACTGTCTCAAAGGATATAGTGAGAACTAAAATAAGTTTACGTACCTAAATCCTAAGACACCTAAGCTACTCTTGTGGCGAGTGCAGCATAACGTATAAGCCTGTCAGATCACTAAGTTGTACACCTGGAACTAACATAACATTGGGTGTCAACTGTACCAGATTAAAAAGGAAATCAGGGGCGCCTGGGTGGCTCAGTTGGTTAAGCGACTGCCTTCGGCTCGGGTCATGATCCTGGAGTCCCGGGATTGAGTCCCAGATCGGGCTCCCTGCTCGGCGGGGAGTCTGCTTCTCCCTCTGACCCTCCCCCCTCTCATGCTCTCTGTCTCTCATTCTCTCTCTCTCAAATAAATAAAATCTTAAAAAAAAAAAAAAGAAATCAGCTGCCATTTAACTGTAGCAGAGATGAAATTTTAAGTTAGGAATTAACAATACTGTGTGAACAGGTGCCGTGTTGAGTTCGCAGTTTTTATTTTGCAGTACACATTACAAATTTCTCAGATGTTTGCTGAGTTAGAATGCAGAATCAATATATATTGATCTGTTTTTATTTTAACCTCTAAGATAACTATACGAGCAAGGCCACGAAGATTAACCAAAGATGTGGGGAAAGAAATATATAAGGATATTCATCATAGTATAGTAGTAAAAAACTGGGAATATATTAATGGTCCATCCATATATTGGAAAACTGTGCAACTGTGCAAAAATTATATCTTAGAAGAACATCTAAAGACAAGGGAGGAAAAGGTCACAGTGTGTTAAACAGAGTAGTAATTAAGCTCTCGGAAAAGCAAAGCATGGTCACGTGGTAAACGCTGACTAAAAAATAGCTACTATTTCTACAAGTGTCCAAATGAAAAGGGCAGGCTATAAAACTATGTTCATTATGATTCTATTTATTTTAGAAACGGAAGTGGGGAGAATTGTAGAATCTGTATATACGCATAAGGGAAAAATGAAATACACATTCTAAAATGTTAGCAGTGGTTCTCTCTGGTAAAATTACGGATGATTTTTTTTCCCTTGTATTTCTTTGTTGTCTTGTTTTCTGGAGTGAACCCTAATGCTTTTGTAAAGAAAACAAGTAAGCTGATCAATTCAAAACAAAGTTTTAAAATAGCACCATGAGAGTCTTTGAAACTGCCGTCTAGGGGCACCTGGCTGGCTCAGTCGGTAGATGATGTGACTCTTAACCTCAGGGTCGTGAGTTCAAGCCCCACGTTGGGCGTGGAGCCTACTTTAAAAAAAAAAAAAAGGTATTGCAGCTGCTGTCTGGAGCGGTCACAGATGGCGGCCAGGAGGCACACGTGGCCGTTGCGCACTTGAGTACGGTTGACACACAGCGTCACATTAGTGTCGGGCATACTGCGTAGTGATCGGACAGGTGTGTGCTTACGCTGTGCTCAGCGTCACTGACTGTATCCCTGCGCTCTGCTTTTTATTCCCGTGACTTGGGGCCCCCGAGTGGCTCAGTCAGTTCGGCGTCCAGCTCTTGATTTTGGGTCAGGTCATGATTCCAGGTCATGAGATCAAGCCCCACTTCAGGCTCCGCACTGGGTGTGGAGCCTGCTTAGGATTCGCCCTCTTCAGGAAGTCAGGATGGCCGAGCGGTCTAAGGATTTGCCCTCTCAGCCCCGCGTCAGGCTCCTTGCTCAGTGGAGAGTCTGCTTCTCCCTCTCTCTCTGCCTACTTGTGCTCTCTATCTCTCCGTCAAATAAATAAATAAAATCTTTAAAAAAAAAAAAAAAGGATTCGCCCTTGCCCCTTCCCCGATTAATTAATTAATTATAAAAATTATTCCCGTGACTTATTCATTCCATAACTGGAGCCTGTGTCTCCCACTCCACTTCACCCATTTTGCCCACCCCCACTCTGGTTTGGGATTTTGAAGACTAAGTTTGGAAAAAATAAAAAAATACCTTTATTTTCATAGATTATATATTAAAATGGTAATATTTTGGTAAAATTATGTTAGACTGTATTACTAAAGTTAATGTCACCTGTTTCTATTTTACCTTTTTTAATGCAGCTGCTAGAAAATTTAAAATTACATATGTGGCTTACATTGTATTTCTGTTGGACAGTGCTGGTCTAGAGGTTCTACACTCCTACCACCTTTAGGAGTTCTGAGCCCAGAAAGTCACGGGAGAATCACTTGAATATCTTTTTCAGCATGGCTCCATCTCCCTCCCTTACTCCCAAAGTGACAAAGGTTCACATGAAGCATCTCATTGTAATCGTAACCTCTCACTGACTTTCTCTGTCCTTTCCTTATCGTTCTTCTAGCTTGGAAGAGGGGCACTCCTTTCATCTTTTAGAGTAATTGATGGTGCGAAACATGTAAGGGTGTGGAAGTAACCCTCATGAGAAAGTGTCTTTGGACCTCCTGTTTTCTAGAACTCTTCTACAAACGTGTGCCTCACAGTGTGGAAGAAAGCTAGAGGCCCCTTCCTGCTTTCTTACCCTCTGAAAAAATGAGCAGTGGACGAACTCTTTCCCACCACTACTTACAATGTGGAATGAGGCTCTCTCTTTCATACCTGATTATGTTCTAGCAACACAGACTCAGTTTATGAATAATTACCAACTTTAATGTGATAGCTATTGATTTCATTCTAATGTAGCTATTGTTGCTGATTTTTTTTTTCCCCAGGGATTTCTTCCAGAGAGTATGTATGAGCGTATTCTCACTGGTCCTGTTGTGAGAGAGGAAGTCAGCAGGCGGGGGCGACGGCCTAAAAGTGGAATTGCCAAGGCCACGGCGGCGGCAGCAGCGGCAACTGCCACCAGCGTGTCAGGCAGTCCTTTGTTAGCCAACGGATTACTTCCAGGTGTGGATCTCACGACCCTTCAGGCCTTACAACAAAACCTACAAAACTTGCAGTCCCTGCAGGTCACCGCAGGGCTGATGGGAATGCCTGCTGGCCTTTCTTCTGGAGGAGAAGCTAAAAACGTGGCCGCCATGTTCCCCATGCTGCTGTCAGGAATGACTGGCCTACCAAATCTGCTGGGCATGGGAGGACTCCTGACAAAGCCTACCGAATCTGCAACCGAAGAGAAAAAGGGAAATGACTCGAAGGAGCTAGAAGGAAAAAAAGAAAGGACAGAGAGTCGTAATTCAGAGAACGGGGGAGAAAACTCCGTGTCGAGTTCTCCTTCCACGTCCTCCACTGCTGCATTAAGTACAGCTGCAGCTGCCAGCCCATTAGCTCTTAACCCACTACTGCTCTCTAATATACTCTATCCAGGGATGCTGCTCACTCCAGGCCTTAATCTCCATATGCCAACTTTGTCCCAGTCCAATACTTTTGACGTACAGAAAAACAAAAACAGTGACTTAGGCTCGTCTAAGTCCCAGGAAGTAAAGGAGGAAGATTCCAGAGTTAGAGATCAGGAAGACAAAGGGGGAACTGAAGCAAGTCCTCTCAATGAGAACAGCACAGATGAGGGTTCAGAGAAAGCCGATGCTTCGTCTGGATCTGACAGTACGTCATCGTCGTCTGAGGATTCAGATTCTAGTAACGAAGACTGACTCCCAGACTGCACTTAAATTATGAACTGATTTTGGATTTTTTTTTCTTTAATTATGAATTGTAAATACCCCAGTGTTGAGTGCATCAATAACTTACTGACCGAACATTTCAGTTATTTGTTTAGAAGTGCAAACTGCTTTCAGAGACGTTTTGCATGTAATATTTCTTAAGATCCATAAGTTTCTGAACTCGTATGTACTATCAAATACATAAAGGTGTAAAATTACAACAAAAAGGCATTATAATTTTGTTGGGGGTTAATTTTATGAAAATTATGCTCAATAAGAGTTGTATATTTAATATATTTGCAGTGAACACAGAATACTTTATGCATATTACTGATTTAATTTGAATATAGTTTTACAGCCTCCTTGACACCTATAATTTACAGATCAAAACTCAGCAATAATTTGGGCAGCTAATGAATGTCATGAAAGCTGTAGAATCTACATCACCATCCATTGCTTTAATTACATGAAAATGCTCTAGTGTCGTGATGCACTGCTGACGTTTCCAATTCAGGTACAAGTGTGTTTTAAAGAAGAAATAAGTTTCCCAATCAGCCAATTTAACTGGCTACCTGTTACCTCAGCTGAGTTAGTTTAGGAAGTTTACATTCGTTTCTAATTCTATACTTGTTTTCAGGGGTTTTTTAAACACATCCTATATATCATGTTAATCTGGCAAGAAATATGACTTGCTTTTTGCTGAGCTTAACTCTGATATCAGTAAAATTAAGTCATAAAAGAATCCTGTGTCATGGGACTTTGGCACCCTCTAGACATACTTAGTTTTACTTTTTCAAAGTTTGGCCTCCTATAAGAAATCATTATGTCTCTGATGAGTAATGTCTGTTTCCAGGGTTCAGAAAAGGCAAACTCATGAAATACCACTGAGAAGAACTTTCCACACAGCATACTTCATGTAAAAGAAATCGTTTGTTTGCTTTATTTGTGTAGATTTCTATTTGTGTTTTATGTCATGGAAATATTCCAACATTAACAGATCATAGTGATAAAGTAATATGCAGAATAGTCTAAATTCTTTTTTTTTTTTTTTTTTTTTTTTAGTTTCTAGGTATAAGCAGACTAAATGTTGCCCAGAATCAGTGTTGGGTTATCAGTTTATATTAAATATACTGAGTTGGCCCATTTTGAATATGCACTTTGAATGATCTCAAAAAAATATATACAAGTTATACCTGTAAACCACAAAAATGAAGCCCAAGGCTTCTGATCAATTTCTTAGAACCCTTTAATATGTAAAATTTGTCTGATATTTGATTTGTGATACAGTTTCTCCTGCTAAAGCTGCTACTAATTCTGACAAGATGGAGAGGTCCAGGATCCCTGTCATGTACATTTAAAACAATTAGAACTGAATTGGACATAAAATACCATTTACATCCTAAGGAGAGAAAGATGTTAGCATTTTTCTGGTACTTGAATAAATCAGTGATAAAATTTGCGAGGGGCTAAATTTAGGGGGGAAAAGTACCCCACTTCTCTCCCGCAGAAAAAAATAACTTTTCAGTACGTTTTGATAGAACTCTGTTGTTTTGTCATGAATCCAATTATATTGGATTCTCCCAGATCTTTACCAGTAAATTACGTTTCTGTATGTAAGATAACTAATCCCTCATTAGAGAGACAGTGTTACATGTATTTACAAAATCATGTATGTTCCATCGAGATTGTATTGATTTTTGTATTTTTCCCAAAATAGTACTTTGAATTGATAGTTCTTTATGCAATGTCTTAGCAATAGTCACTATAATGCCCATCCAGGAGAAGTGGGTAGTAATTCTTCATCATGAAAATGATATATTACATATTTAGTATCTTCCCTTGGCAGTATTGCACTTTTGTTGAACTAGAATACACCTATGAGATAGCCAAAGTTTTTCAAACACAGTTAACTTAGTTTGCCGGTGGGGTATTTCAACACCATCCATATTTCCCTCTCTCCCACTAGTTCTACCCACATAATCTTCATTCCTTTCTTTCCCCAATTAAAAAAAAAAAGGGGGGGGGAAGCCCTAGATCTTGTCACTAAAAATCTAATTTATATCAAATTTATGAGATAAAGTATTTTCCTAATTATGATCAGATGAATTTGGTTAACATCTTAGTGATTCTCTTTCTATGTAATAAGGCAATTGCAGTTTTCAAAGCATTAAGGCTAATACTATAACGTCAAACTTTCTCTTGGGTTTCAAGACACTTCTATTTAGTATTGATTGGGGAAAAGTTGTCCAGCTGTCAGCTTAAAAAAAATGCAAATATGGTTGTGTAAAGTTAAGGGTTATAAGGAAAAAAAAAATCAGTAGAATTACATAATACTAAAGTTGCAGTTGAAAGGATATCCAAGTATGTGTTGGTAGTTACTAAAAGAATTATAGCTGTTATTGCCTTGTATTTATAGCCCTTGTTTCAGGTTTCATGATTCAAGTCTTAGTCCAATTTTTCTTTTGGACATTTGCAATATTTACCAGTTGTGTTTTGTGTAGTCCGAATTTGCTTTCTGTAGTTGAGCAAACGTCTTAAAAAAGTCATTTGTAATTTATTAAATTACTTTCTATGATGTTCTATAGAGCAAATGGAAGTTTAATTATTTTTTATTAAACATATTCTTTGACTACCCATGATGTCAGCGTCTGTACATGACAATACTCCTTTTTTTAATTGACTTTTATCTATAATTTATCTTAATCCAGTTGTGAAAGAAACCCTAGTCCTGAATCTCTAAAAGGAAAGTATACCTTGGAAGAATTTTTAAAAGACAGAAGTTGGCTATAATTACATCCACAATATCATTATATCCTTAAGTTTTGTTCCCCTGAACCTTAAAAATGTCCAGAAAGACTCAGAGATGTACCTCACCTCGTAAAGGAGTACATTTTGGATATGTGTAATTATTTTTCCCCTTGGTCTTAAGAGTCTTTCCTAATTCATCACTATTGTTTTTAGTGTTTTTGTAAACATGAAAGAAATTTAGTTTTCCCCTAAATAGAAAAGTAGAACAGAAGAGTCTCAACATACACTCATTTACCTTGGAACCCATTTACCTATACTTTCGTGCTTAGAAAACCTTTTTTTTTTTTCTTTTTTGTACAATGTAGCATGTAAACACAAGCCAACTACTTTTGTCTAGTGCTCACCCAGAGGAACAGTATCTGTCTGTACCAGTGCTAGAGGAAGATTTGGCTATGTTAGATGTTTCTGAAAGAAGATACACTATGTACAAAACGATGGGTTCTGTGTGTTGAGAGCTATAGGAGGGAGAGTGATTTTTGACTACGAGTAATGTTCATCTTCTACAACAAATTTAGAATTTAATCTCTACGTAAATACAACTCCAGTACATAAGCTGTTTATTTTAAAATGCAGAAAAGCACAAAGAATAAAAATACTTAAATCATCATAAACCCACCCTGAGATAAATCCTGTTCATATAGATACCCAGTGTTTTTATATGTATGTTATATACATGTAGTGGGTTGAATCGTGTCGTCCACAAATTTATGTCAACCCAGAACCTCAGAATGTGACCTTATTTGGAAATAGGGTCCTGGCAGATGTAATTGGTTAAGACGCAGTTATACTAGGTGAGGGTGGGCCCTAAATCCAATGACTGGTTCCTGATAAGAAGAGGAGAGGACACACAGACAAAGGGAAGAAGGTCATGAGCCAACAAGCAGAGATTGGAGTGACATAGATGGCCCCGAGGAACAGGAAGGAAGGTCAGCAACCACCAGAAGCTAAGAGAGCAGCATGGAACATATTCTCCTTCAGAGCCTCCAGAAGGAAGCAACCTGGCCAACACCTGGATTTTGGACTTCCGGCCTGAATTGTGGGAGAATAAATTTCTGTTGTTTTAAGCCACACCGTTTGTGATAATTTGTTATGGTAGCCCTAGGAAACTTATACATTTTCATATTAAAGCAGTATTATATGGGACATAATATTTACTGTTCTGCCCTTAATATACTGACCTATGTCAATAAGTACCCTGCGTCGTGATGTTTAATACATAGTATTGTCTCATACAGATGTAATTTATTTAACCATGTACTTAAAAATGGACATTTGAGTTTCAAATATGTATCTTTTGCATCCATCCCGAGGACTTCCTTAATCCGTAGAAGTGAAACGACTTCCTCTGTTTTTAAGGATTTTGATTTGTGTTGCCAAGTTTACAACAAGGCCATGAGTAGCAATTTATACTACCCCAGCAGCATTTTGTGCATGCTCACCCCAAAATCTTACCAATACTGTGTATTGTCTTTTGAAGTAATCTTTGCCAAATAGGCAAACGTACCATCTTGATGAATTTTTAAATTATTCTTCCTTTTTCTTACTAAAAAATAAGACATACATATTCTAGAAAATTGGGAGGCGGGGGGGTTGAGGAGGAGGAGTTGGGGAAGCATAAAGAAAACCAAAACCCCCATAATGTTGAACGCTCAGAGATTTGGGTCATTTTTCTTCGCATATACATATTATATATTATTTTGATAAGAATGGAGTTATACTGTACATACCATTTTGTAACTTCTTTCACTTATTATATCATGATAATTTTCCCATGTCATTAAAGAATCTTCCACAGCATTTTTAAGGACTTTCTCATTCCACTGTATAGACGCAACATAATTTATTTAATGCCCAATTATTGAACACTTAGATATTTTTCAGTTTTGGGCTAAACAATGATATGTTTGTAGTTAAGTCTCTTCATACACTTGGGATTTTTTCATTAAAATAAATACCTAGGCATGAGATAGTTACGTTTGGATTTTAAGACCAGTTGGATTGTACTGTTTTCTACCCCAACAGCAGAGCATAAAACTACTTCCTTCCCTGTGTCTCTTTTGCACCCCTGGGCATTCGAATATTTTTTAATCTTTGTCAATTTGATAGACAAAAAAATAGATTCTTGTTTTAGTTTACATTTCTTTGACTATTAGTAATATAAACTCTTTCATATCTCTTCCTAAGGCCATTTGTATTCTGTGTATTAACTGTTCATGTTCTCTGTGCAATATCTGTTATGTAAGAGGTAAATATTTTTCCCAATTTGCCTGTGAATTTTGCTTTTTTTTAATGCGCAAGTTTTACGTTTTTATGTGGTTATTTTGATATTCCATTTTTTCACATTTAAGTTTCTGATGTTTTTCCACAGAAAAGTCTTTTCACCCCCAAATTCTATACATGTTTACTTTTTTTTTTTAATACTTAGTGCCTTTGTTGACTTAGAATTTATTTTGGTAACATACATATGGTATAAGATAAGAATCCTAGTTTGAATTTTTTTAATAATTATGCAGTATCCCAGCATTATTTTGTATATAATGTCTCCACTGATTTGACATGCCTTCATTGATCATAATTAAATAATTCATGTATGTATATGTGAATTATTTAGATATATATGAATTTAGATCATATCTATCATAAATATGCATGATGTATCTATGATATATCATGTAAACAGTAAACATAGGAAAACTGGAGTGGCTATACTAATAAAAGATGAACTTTAAAACGAACAAATGTTGCCAGAAATTAATGAGAACATTTTTTAATGTTATAAGAGTCATTCATCAGGAAAATATAACACTTACATAGGCACCTAACAACAGAGCCACAAAATACATGCAGCAAAAACTAACAAAATTGAAAGGAAAAATATACAAATCAATGATAATGCTTGGAGACTTCAATATCTAACTTTCAGCAATGGATACAACAAGTAGGCAAATGGTCAACAAGAAAACAGAAGCCCAAACAACACTATAAACCAACTGAACCTAAGAAGCATTTGTTGAACACACCACCAGATAATAGCAAAAAAAAATTATTCTAAGGCACACAAGACCATTCTCCAGGATAGACCATGAGTAAACTCTAAGTATGAGTAAACTCCATGATAAACACTAAGTATGTTTTCCAGACACAAGGGAATGAAATTTGAAATCAGTTACAAAGCATGGATATTCACAAATATGTGGAAATTAAACAACACACTCATAAATAACCAATGAGTCCTAGAAATCTCAATCTCAAAGGAAGTTAGAAAATAATTTGCGATGAATGAAAGCAAATACACAACATGCCAAAACATGAGATGTAGCCAAGGCAGTGCATAAAAGGAAATTTATGTGTAAACATCTACATTAAGAAAAAAAAGCCTCAAATCAATGTAACTTTCTTCTTTAAGAAACTAGAAAAAGATCAAATTAAACCCAAAGCAAGAAGTCAGGAAATTAAGATTTGAGCCTGATTAATGAAATGGAAAGTAGAGAAAATTGGAGCGCCCGGGTGGCTCAGTCGTTAAGTGTCTGCCTTCGGCTCAGGTCATGATCCCAGGGTCCCGGGATCGAGCCCCGCATCCAGCCCCGCATCGGGCTCCCTGCTCCGTGGGAGGCCTGCTTTTCCCTCTCCCACTCCCCCTGCTTGTGTTTCCTCTCTCGCTGCCTCTCTCTCTGTCAAATAAATAAATAAAATCTTAAAAAAAAAAATTTATAAAACCAAAAGGTAGGTCTTTAAAAAAAACAAAATTGACAAACTTTCAGCTAGACTGATCAGTAAAAAAAAAAAGCTTCAAATTACTAGAATCAAAAATGAAAGGGAACATCCTTACAGAAATAAAAAGGATCATAGGGAAACTTATGAATAATTGTATGCCAATAAATTAGATAAAACTAGATGAAATGGCAAATTCCAAGGCATAAACTAGTGAAACTGAATCAAGAAAAAAGAGATTATAACAAAGAGTCTAATAAAGTAATGAGATTAAATTACTAAAAGCAACGAAAAACACGATAAAATCCCTGGATGAGGTGGCTTTACTGAGGGGAGAAGAAAAAAAGAACACCTGTTCCTCACACACTCTTCCAAAAATGGAAGAGGAAATATTCCCCAATTTGTTTTATGAGGCCAGTATTATCCTAATACCAAACCCAAAGACACCACAAGGGAACTGCCTATTGATAGCCGTTATGACTATAGAATGCAAAAGTTTTCAACAAATTGCTAACAAACTGAATCCAGCAACATGTGAAAAGTATTATACAACCCTGACCAAGTTGGATTTATCCCAGGATTGCAAAATTGCTTCAACAAACAACTGATGTACTATTCGCAGAAAAAGGGTGGGGGGAACCACATAGTTATCTCAATAGATGAAGAAAAAAAACATTTCACAGGGAAGTGTGTAGGGGGATGGGGTAAATGGGTGATGGGCATTACAGAGGGCACAGGGTGTTATATGCAAGTGATGAACCACCAAATTCTACCTCTGGAACTAATAATACACTATATGTTAAGTAACGTGAATTTAAATAAAACCTAAAAAACAGTTATTGATTAAAAAAAAAAACATTTCATGAGATTCAACACCCTTTCATGATTTAAAAACAAACAAAAAGGGTAGTAGAGATAGAAGAGAACTTCCTCAATCTGATAAAGGGCATCTATAAAATACCCATAACTAACATCATACTTAATAAAAACTGAATTTTTTTTTAAGAGAGAGAGAGAGTGAATGAGGGGGAGGGGCAGAGGAGAGGGAGAGAGAGAATCTCAAGCAGGCGCCACTCGCAGAGCCTAATGCAGGGCTTCATCTCACAACCCTGAGATCATG